AGAAGAGTAAATTTATTCTAAATCAGGAAGATTCTAGGATATAGCTATCTTAAAATTTTTGCATATGGATAGAAGTTATGCTAAAAAAATGTACATCACAAAGAACACCTTTGGTGTGCTAAAGAACCTCCTTGGAATTTTTGAAAGAATTAATGAATATATAGATGGAGAGAATAAATTTAAGGCAAAGTCTAAAAAAGCTGTTTGGAATAAATAAACGATATTGGCAAGTAAATCCAGAAAGAAATATTGTATATTCTTAGCGGTATCAACTAAAAAATTAGAATTCAATATATATAATAATAAGTTAAAACAATTATTAGTTGTGTAACATGCTTTTGATCCATCTATATAATATAATTTTTATTCTCTTACCTTAGGTTGCAAATGTGGCTTGACTTTTAATTGTTCTTATTAAGTATGTAAGGTATAGGAAATCATAATATCTATTTCATGAAAATGTTTAAGATATTGTGTGTAAAGTTGTTCTGATATGCTCTATGGTTAAATAAATAGAATTGTGATGTAGGTGTCTCAAGAGAAATTGAATATACTTACTTTTAGTTTCGAGCTGGCTCACTTACATCTATTAATTAATTATTTTTTTTCAATTGAAATACATCTGGTAAGTTCTCAAAACGATACTTATCCTCAAAAAGATTTTATGAAAACATAACAATTATAATCTTAAATCTAATATAACAAATTTCTTTGTCAAATTATTTTTATTCCTGATTAATAATAATATGTTGACAAAAGATTTTGACTTGGCCATAATTGCATCCTCTAAAATTAAGAAAAAAATTTGAGCTCAAGCAAGTTTACATCAAATATAATTTAATTTTTTAGCTGATCATTTCATTACTATTTCCTTAGCATTTCTTGATTTTTTCTGCCCTCCTTAAAAAGTGAAATAGAATCTTTTCTTCTATAAAAATTATGCAGCAAAGCTGTTTAAGGTTGGATCTTTCATGATATTCTTGTCTATAATAAGTAGACACAATTTCAAGCATCCCGCTATTTGTAGTGCAACTTATTTTCTTTGGAATCTAATTTCATTATTAGTAACAAAAAGAGTTGAATAATATTAGAAAGGATATCACTGTATTATTTCCTTATTGTCCCTGGTCCTTATATTAATTTTGGTTTAGCAAAAAGGTTGTTTAAATATGTTTTAATATTTTTTAAAGTTAATTAAGAATATAATAATAAAAGCAATATTGGATATTGCTTATGAGTAATGACATTAAAGAATTAAACGTATTCAATTAAAATATTGTATTTTATTATTTATGATATGTTTCATTGTGTTTGTATGGCTTCTAAACATTCATCTAATGTTAAGAAATACAATACTTTTTCTTTTTTTAGTCCATTTATGATTAGAATCAATTTCTAAAGCTTTATCATAAAATATTAAAGCCTATAAATATTATTTCTGATCATGTAAGCATTAACCTATTAATTATATCATAATATTACCTTTTATCCTTAATGAATTAAAATGATTTGGATTAATTATTAGAGATTATTCAATCACTTCCATAGCTTCCTTAAATTTTTTCAATTATCTTAAAGAGTTACCTTTAATTTAAAAAGTTATTCATACCTTTAATAAATAATGAATTACAACACTTTGGATCTACTTACAAAGCTTTATCAGCCCAAATATAGCTTCATTATATTAACCAAGCTTCCTTAAACTCTCAGCTAATACATTCAAATTTAATCATACCTTTAGTAAATAATGATCTACAATGCTTTGGATCTGCTTACAAAGCTTTATCAGCCCAAATGATAGCTTCATTATATTAACCAAGATTCCTTAAACTCTCAGCTAATACATTCAAATTTAATCATACCTTTAGTAGATAATGATAATTAATGTTTTGGATTAAAATTCAATGCTTAATCAAATATTTTAATAGCCTCATCATATTTGTCATCATTCCAATATAACTTATATCCTAAATCATTAATTTAATTACCTATTTTATACAATTCTTCTGATTTTTCTATATTTGGTTTAGATATTTGATAATAATCTAATGCAAATAAATTTAAATCATTCTGTAATTTCTTTATTTAATCTTAAAATTCCTTTATGAATTGTTATAACAAATTTTCAAAAATTAATTAAAATTATTTGAAATGGATACTTTATGTTAAGAAAGAATTAATTTATTGAGAATTTAAATTGGGTAATTACTTAGATATCTGATATTTAGTTCTAATTCCTCCAATTAATAAAAAGAAATCATTTTAAATTAAATCCATTTATTTATTGATTGTATTTATTAAATCATCAGATTCTTTTTCAATTGTTGAAATATGTTCAAATAAAGATTGTAACTCTTCTTAATGTTAAAGATGAGTAACATGCATTCCAATTTTTATACATTCATGACAATATAATCTCTATTCTTTACAAGTATCATCAAAACATACGTATTTAACATTTTTAGTATGTTTTGGATTAGGACATTTCATAATTATATCTTCACATTAATTCATAATTAATATTATTATATTATCTATTCCAATTTCTATTAAAATTATGTTAATAATAATAATTCATATTATTTTTATATCCAATTTGATTTTCGAACAATTTCAACACTAATCTTTACAAATCCTATAATTACAACTATACACAATTAAATACTATCTTTTGCAATCTGCTCATTATTCCCATTCAAACCCAAAAGTATTATTATGTTTGATCAATCAAATAATTGCAATCTCATTAAAACTATAATTCAAATCATATTAGTTTATTCCCAAATTATAATTTAAGAATCAAATTTTCGAATTTTATTTCTTCTTACGTTTGCAGAATCCTTAGTTAATTTTAAATTATTATTTATGATTATAAGCATATATATTCAATTAGGATGATCTGTATTATTTATATTTTCCAATAAACTTAATTTATCAGAAGCATTATTAATTATGTCTGTTATTTTCAATTTCATATCCTATAATTATAGATGTTGAGGGTAAGCTGTTATAAAGATAAGGTAAAAGTAGGAAATTGATTCTAATTATTCAACTTTCTTTAGAATATAGTTTGAATTAGGATCTAATTGGTTATATTTCATTAGATTTTTACTTATTTTGGAGCTGATTCTTAATTAAGACTTTCCATAAACTAATCCTATTTTCAATGTATAGAAATGTAATATTCTTTATATCTAGTTTATATGAAAAACTATTTAATATTAAAATCTCTAACTAAGATTAATTTTATAAATATTTACAAAGTAAATTAGATATTCCTAAAACTTTGAATTATCCAATTGTATATTCATATACATATGTCACTTAATACTGACGATTATTGGAAATCTTTAAATTAACTACTCTAACTGAGAAAATTACATTTTACATCTCTCTCATTCTAATTATAATAAAATCTGCACTTCATAACAGGCAAGAAAATAATAAAATGTTAAGCAGAACATAAAAATAGTCTCATTTAATATGAGCCTTATTTAGATTTCAATTTTTAATTAATATATTAAAAACAAAAACTGTAATTTAGATATCTAGTAAATAAGATACTTTATGACAATAACAACTTGTATTAAATAGAGATTCACAAAGAAGAATAAGTGGATTTAGGGAATTTGTAAATCTCCATCATTAAAGAGAGAGAGTTAATATCTCACTATTTATCTTATGTTACTTATTAGATAAATTATAATTAATAATTTTGCAAGTCACTAGTTATAATTCTACTTTACCATCATTAATCAAATCCAAATGAAGAATTTAATTAATATAATAATGATTAAAATTTTGTTTCCACACAGCAATTATAAACTCTGGGTTTAATGAAAAGCGATTATGTACCATTATTAATTTGTCTTAGAACTTGACATTAATAGCCAATCTTTATAAT